ATTAAATATTAAATTTGCTATTGTCAATAAAATATTTTTCATGTTTGATAAGACCAAAGACAATTATTTGTACTTTTTCTTAGCTAAATGAATCTACCTTTGATACTCAAATCACCAAGAAGATGGGCTATTATAAGATGCTAGAGGTGATATATTCTCGTCTTCCAAAAGATGAAGTGCACTCCAAGGAATCTAAAATTAATCAAGTTTTCCATGGCTCCAGTGTTGCTGAGGGAAGTGAACTTACGAAGACACTTATTAAGTAAGATTTTTGGTGAATTTGATATATATGTATGTGTGTGTGTATGTATACATGTATATATGCATGCATCACATGCACGCACATATGTGTACATACATACAAGAGCAGGGTGCAGGCCAGAGTTGTGGTGGGTAAGAGGATTCACCAGAAACAGAGTGGGGAGCAGAACAGGTGGATCTACTGAAATACACTGCTAAGGGAGCAGCAGGCAAGACTGCTGTACTCTGTAGATCACTCCCTGTCCAGGGATCAAACTTGTGCGGCAGTGGCTGAGGATAGCTTCAAAATACTATGACTTAACCCCTTGTGCAATGAGGGAGGCCCCTAATTTGATATTTAACTTGTTAATATTTTGATGCTTATATTTTATGCATAAGTTATATTTTTATGCATGTATAAAACATGACTGTCTAGATACTGAATTTTTTTTCTTATGTAGAAATTACTTAGATGAACCTTACTTACCATACTTTTAGATCTTATTTTATCTTATAGGTTATCTTTTGTAAAAAATAAAATTCTTTTTTCATTCACTGTTTTTCATATCGTTTTTCCCCACATTAGCTTTATAAGTGTTTAGTGGTATGATTTATGTAAGACAAGGCTTAATGTACTTAGTTTTTTCTATCATTTGATATTAAAGGAGTGTTAAATATTTTTTTTTTAAAGATTTATTTATTTGTGTAAACAGAACTGAGGTACAGGCCAGACGTGTAGGGGCGGGTGGTGAGAGGCTTTACCAGAGACAGAGTGGGGAGCAGAACAGGCAGATTTTCGAAGTATACTGCTGAGGGGAGCAGAGGGCAGGTCAGGAGAGGTCTGCCACACCATATGGATCACCTCCAGGGTAGGCGGGGATAGAACTCATGCGGGTAGAACTCATAGCTTCTTAGTGCAGTGCTTTAACCTGCTGCACCACCAGGGAGGGCCCGGAGTGTTAAATATTTTAAGCAAATGTTTTATAAGACACAAAGGGATCAAATACATGTTCCCTAAAACTAGTTCCTTCATAGTAAATACTAAGTTCCTTCATAGTAAATATCAAATACAGCCATTGCTGTATTTCATTTTGCATCTTCAAAGCAAACTTAATAATTTCCTCTTACCCTAATCCTTGTTTTACATCATCAACAAATGACCTCATCTACATTATTTACATAAATTAAAGACTTAGAGGCACATTTTATTCTTCTTCGTCTTTTCCATCTTCCACACACACTGTGTTAGTCAGCTTGGGCGTATTTTATTTCCTCAGTACTCCCAAAATCAGCACCTTATTTTGTTCCCCTCATATAGCCTGTTATGATCCTTTGCATTGGTCCTCTGCACAGTTTCTCTCTTTGCACCCAGGCTGGTCTCTCTCAGTTCTTTTATTTACACTGCTGTCAGGATGATGACACATCTATAGTAGGAACATGACTTTTCACCTTGTTGCCTAAAACCCTTCAAAGGAAATTCATCTCTAGTTGGCAAACCTCTCCTGTAAACCACAGGATCTCAACTAAGTTCAGTCTTCTCTGCAGATTAGCAGACTTTTATGACCAGATGAGCTCCATAGTTGTATTCTGAGAAAACTATATTGAAGAACAAATAATCACCGGGACATGATTTGGTGACCCTGTTCTTCAGGATGAAGCTAGGTGCTTCAGTATAGTTAGCAAGTCCTTAAAGGAATAAGCCCTTTCTACATTATGCTGCCTGCCACCACTGCTTTCCTTATCATCCTCTGAACACAGCATGCATTTTATACTTCATTATAAGGACTCTTTTCTGCTGGTAACGCTACAGACATTTTCCCTTTGGCTAACTTATAATTCAAAATGAAGATATTTTTTCTTAAAACCTTTCTTAGCTTCTTAGACTGGGCTTTTTTAATCTGTCCCCTTTTTCATCCATATGAACTCCCTGTCTTTTCACTGTTGCTGTCACCACTGTGTGCTACAGTCCATAGATGCTGCTTTCCCTTTGAGTTATGTATGAGTACAGTGACATGTGCCCCTTTATTCCCATTGCCTAAACACAAAGCTAATCTGCAGAGAAGACTGAACTTAGTTGAGATCCTGTTGTCTGAAATTGTTGGGTTTGAGTAATGGTTTCTCTATTAGATGAATTAATTTTCAGTCTTAATCCACTCTGCAGATTGTGCTATGATGCATTTACAGAGAACATGGCAGGTGAGACTCAGTTACTGGAGAGGAGAAGACTTTACCATTGTGCTGCTTACAACTGTGCCATTTCTGTTATCTGCTGTGTCTTCAATGAATTAAAATTCTACCAAGGTTTTCTCTTTAGTGAAAAACCCGAAAAGGTAGGTCTATCCTCAGGGGTTCATTATTGCCATCATTGTGGCATTTCAAAAGTTAGATTATGTCAATTGAAGTTTTAAGGTGTTCCTTATAATACTGACGGCGTAGTTCTTTTTAGTTCTGTACGTATTTATTTAAAACTAAAATGTTTTTCCATGAAAAGTAATTAGCATTAGTTTTGTAGTAGCATCAGCAATAACCATCTCTGCCATTCAGATATCTTTATGATTCTTTGGATTTACAGAACTTGTTTATTTTTGAAAATCTGATAGACCTGAAGCGCTGCTATACATTTCCTGTAGAAGTTGAGGTAAGTGAAGTTTTTTCCAATGGTGTGTGTAAGTTTAAAATATTAGGTTCTTTTTTTTTTTTTTAAAGATTTATTTATGCTTACAGAACTGGGGTACAGGCTAGAGGTCTGGTGGGTGAGAAGATTCACCAGATACAGAGTGGGGAGCAGAACAGGCAGACTGACTGAAATACCCTGCTGAGGGATATTATACAGAGTATACTAAGTTTCCAATATTCAAATCTACTTTGAACTACAAAACCGGCAGTTTCATGTAGTACAACCTGAGGTACAATCTGAGGTAGGTACAAAAAACTCACCATAACTCAATTTTTCTGTCTCTTCATTTGAAAAGGAAAAAAAATACCAACAAAAATAGCTGTTAGGACATATCCCATAAGTTATTTTCGAAGTAAGTTCTTCTGTCAATGAAGTTGAGATCCATCTGTATACATACTCAATGACCCTGTTACCCTGCTTGGGGTATTTAGCAGCTTAATGGAAATGAGTAGGTAGAAGTTACAAATACAGGTTTCCCCTGCTATCTAAAAACAATATGTTCCTATTTGTTATGTTTTGGTAGGTTATTTTTAGGATCTGGGAATGCTCAACAAATTTTCCATGTAAGTTAATGTTAATAGCATCCCAGATGCCAAATGTAGCTAACAAAGAATAGTCTACTTTCAGATAGTGAAGGAAGCTGTGAGTTGGAAAGGGCATTCTGGCAAATGTGATGAGCTTGATTTTAGCCAAACTAAGTTTGAAGTGCCAGCCTTGGACTTTGTTGTGAAGGTTTTGCTGTGGTCTTTTCATAGCACATGGAAGTTGGGCAAAGTGCACAGTTCACACAGCATGGCCTGTAGCATAGAGCTGGGGCCAGGAGCTTCATGTTCTCCCGCATAATGGTGACCTGACCATGTGTCAGTGGGTCAGGAGTCACATATGCGGTTGTTTCCTACATGTGCCCCATTTGGAACAAGATTGGAAACTTTTTCTAGGCATGTGTTCAAAGAACTGAAAACAGAAAAATTATAGCACTAGATTAATTAAGATTCAGACACTTACTGTATGTTACTTCTAAACTTTACAACAGCAGTATGATGTAATGATTTCTTCAACTATATAGTTGAAGAAATTAAGGCTTACATCAAGTACAAATTGGTAATCCAGGCCTGTAGTTGTAAGAGTTTGGTGTACACTATAACAAGAGGTGCATGCCTCTGTGGGGATATGCAGGACAGAATTTTCTTATGGCTATTCATCTGTCTTTGTGGATATTTTTGGATGCTCTTAAATTTGGTAAAAATTTTGTTTCAAAATTAATTTTTTTGCCAGATTTCTACTAAACTAATGACCCTATGACCTTGATCATAGAAAGTTTTATTTATATTTATTATTGATTTATATCTAGAGGTTTCCATTTTATTTTTCTTTTCTCTCGTCCTTTTAGAAATTTTGGTTTTAATTGAGGTCATGTTGGTTTCCAGTACAGTAGATGACTCATAGGTACAGATGAGTGTTACTGTATCCCACATAGGCACCTGTCATCCTCTGTCATAGTCCAGTGGACCCTTTCCCCTCTTTGCTTCCACCTCCCACTCCCCCTGCAGGTAGCCTCAATTCTACAGTCCAATTTTGAGGGTTTTCCTATGTTTGTTTCTCTGTCTTTTCCTATGTTTGTTTCTCTCTCTTCCATATGAGTGAAATCACTGACTTTTTAAATACATCTCGTTATTGTACTGCTGAACTATAGTTGCATGTCAACTCCTCCATGAAAAGAACTAGAAAAATGCTGTCTAGCATTACTCTTTTTTTTTAAAGATATCATTTAATTTTGCACAGAGGAACGGGGCTGTAGGCCAGAAGTGAAGGGGTGGGGGCATGTGAGAAGATTCATCAGAGACAGAGGGGGGAGCCGAACAGGTAGATCTACTGAAGTGCAGTGCTAAGGGAAACAGCAGGCAAAACAGGAGAGGTCTGCTGTGCCATGTGGATTAATTCCCTGACAGAGTATTGAACTCAGGCTGTTGCAGTAGGCCCTCACAGTGGAAGCGCTAAGACTTAACCCCTAGGCCACGAGGAAGATCATGTCTATCATTATTAATACATTTTGTTGTTGAGGCTTGGGCATTAGTGTCAGGGAGAAAGGAAAAAAACTTCAATTTGAAACTAAAACAAAGGGAAAATTTTTAAAAGAAATGAGAAAAAGAATACTATTGTTGATTCTAAAAGAAGATATTTCGAATGGTCTCATAGCATAAGACACTTCACACAAATATTAATAAACTCTTCAGGCTTCAAATACAGATGAGCAACCAGGGAGCAGTTGAAACACACTTTGAGCCAACTTTTGGAGAATTTTGAAGTCATAGAAAAACTTGTATGGTCATCAAAATTTTTCTCCTATTTTGAAAGGATTTCTCCCTTTCTCTTGTTCCTTGCTTATTCCCCATCCAGGAAACCGTTTTTTAAAAACATTTATTTCATTTATTTATGCATACAAGAACTCAGGTATAGGCCAGAGGTGCAGGAGCCAGGGGTGGTGGAGAGAATTCATCAGAGACAGAGTGGGGAGCAGAACAGGAGGATTGACCGAAATATACTGTTAGGGGGAGCAGTGGGGAAGACATGAGAGATCTCCTGTACCATGTGGGTTAGCAACTTGGCTGGGGATTGAACTTGTGCTACAGTGGCTGTGGATAGCTTCATAGTGCTGCACTTTAACCCTTTGCACCACTGAGGAGGCCCCAGAAACCATTTTGTGAAGCTAACAGTTAGTGCAGCTAATGTTCAGTCAGCATGCTGTGCCATCAGATAGAAAAAAAACATTGCAGAACTCTTTTTTAAAAGATTTATTTATTTATTTATTTATGCACACAGAACTGAGGTATAGGCTAGAGGTGGTGAGAGGATTCACCAGAGACAGAGTGGGGAGCAGAACAGGCAGATCAATGAAGTACACTGCTGAGGGGAGCAGTGGGTGGGTCACGAGAGGTCTGCCACACCATGTGGGTCACCTCCAGGGCGGGGATTGAACTCATGCTGAAGTGGCTTTAGGTTAGTGCTGTGCTTTAACCTGCTGTTCCACCAGGGAGGGCCCTCTTTTTTTTTTTTTTTTTTTTTAAGCCTCATAGTTCTGAGTAAAAGAAGAGGTGGCCTTCCCTGGTCACAGTGGGTTACAGCACAGCACTACAAAGCTAGCCACAGTGGCTTCAGCACAAGTTCAGTTCACAGCCAGGGAGCTGATCCACATGGTACAGCAGACCTCCCTGTCTTGCCTGCTGTTCCCCTCAGCAGTGTACTCCATTGTCTGCCTGTTCTGCTCCCCACTCTGTCTCTTACCACCCCTATGCCTCTTGCCTGTACCTCAATTCTGTATGCATAAATAAATAAATCTATACATACATACATCCCCCCCCCCACACACACACACATACGAAAAACCTACAAAGAGAAGAACATCTCTTCCTGTTCCCCAAGATGATGAGTGTCAGATCAGAATCAGCCTTCTGTAGTCCTGTCAAAGCATGCTTGTTAAGGTCTCTCATACAAAGGTTCACTATGTTATTTTATTTTTTTCTTTTAAAAAAACATTTTATTGAAATATGTTTGATCACCATGGTATTCTGCTACATACAGGTTTCTTGTCAGTGTTACTTGGGGTAGGTTTAATTTATGTTACCAACTGTTCCTCAGTACTTTTCAGGTTGAAGTGGTCATCATGTGGTGATTAAGTTGATGGCTAAACCAAGATGACCAATGTGATCTGATCTTCTCTACCCACTTTGGGAAAGTAGTGTTTATCATTGCATACATATCTTGTCTATCACATCTTTTTTTGATAGTGAGAGAACAAGATTGTCTGTTACCTGCACAAAATCCTATGACAGCAACTTGTTTGTCTTAGCCAATACTGTTACAGGATATGATCAGCTTTCTTGATAAAATCCAGGATTTTCCCAGGGGCCTCATTATTTATACAGTGCCACCGAGTCTCAGTACGTTGTAAATTTATTCTTCCTGCTGTTGCCATCACTTTAGCTTCTCCCATATGTTTGCTGACCTAAAGGCAAATTTCAGTGCCCTGTAGAGCGAGTTCTATAATGGGAACAATCATCAGTACTTGTATATTATCTTCAGGTTTGGCCATTTAAGTAATGGAATGAGGTAGACACTACTCTTACGCGTTCCACTGTTTTCTCTAGTTAAAATGTCCCCACCAGGTAAGGCAGTAGGAATGCTCTCCTAATTGCAAGATGAACTTTTTTCAACGCTTTTCAAAAATTCTCATCAATAACCCCATTTCAAACAGTAATTCATCAAACTCATTTCCTTTTGTGGATGATACAGCTGAAGTTTTAATTCTTAAATTATTTGGAGGGAGTTCTCAAGTCCTTTTCAGTCATCACCAGATTTATATAGTGCTCATTCTTTTTGATTGTTGCTGAGTGCCATTATTGATTGTATTGCTGGTTTTCATTGTATCTCTGCCTCCTTCCTCTGGGTCATCACTGGACTCCACAGAATACCTCAAGTGACCATTTTGACTGCATCAACCTTTCATGTAGGATTCTCTGTCCTGGTCATGCTCATGTAGGGTTCTCATGTCCTGGTCATTCTCTATCCAGGCTGTAATAAATTGGAAAGATGCCCCTTCCAAATTTGAAAATTTTTGAAAGTCAGTAGAAAATTGTAATAACAGTTTATTAGGCTCTCTAAAATAAAGAGATAAGAGTCTTGCTCAGTATATGATTCCATTATTGTAATACAGGCAAGCACCTATGTCTCTGAATGGTAAGCAGCAGTAACTTGCTCTCGTACATGGAATCAACTTTGCTATTTAAAACAAGATTTAACAAGATTTAGTTATATTTATGTGTCTACTCACTTCAGTCTTCACCATGACCCACTTCTCAGCTTTGCAAAGGTTGCTGCCCAGTCTTCGCTAACTTGGCTGCTAGAATTTTTTTTTTTTAAAGATTTATTTATTTTTATTTGTGCATACAGAACTGGGGTACAGGCCAGAGGCTCAGGGGCGGTGAGAGGCTTCACCAGAGACAGAGTGGGGAGCAGAATAGGCAGATCTACGAAGTACACTGCTAAGGGAAGCAGCGGGCGGGCCAGGAGAGGTCTGGCTCGCCATGTGGTCTCCTCCGGGGCAGGCGGCAGGCGGGAATCGAACTCATGCGGAAGTGGCTTCAGATTCTCAGTGCTGTGCTTTAACCCGCTGCGCCACCAGGGAGGGCCGGCTGCTAGAATTTTTTAAATTGTGTATTTGTTTTGCTGAATAGGTTCCTATGGAAAGAAAGAAAAAATACATTGATATTAGGAAAGAAGCCAGGGAAGCTGCAAATGAGGATCCAGGTAGGATATATCCTAAATGATGAGATAGTTTTTATTAGTTGGTATTTGTTATATGAGTCAACAGTATTTTAAATACTTCAATTTACTGGAATTTTTACTTTAAAATGATAAATAGGGTTGCATTTTGAATGAAGTGCAATTAGCTTTACTTTAAGGGTATATAAAGGTCTGAAAGTCACCAAAGGAGGCTCAAGCATAGTATACTTTTATTGTTAAAATGCAAGATTGGCTTGATATTTTTTTATATATTGATTATATTTGTAAATTTAGGTATAGTCAGAAATCTGTTTTAAAATATAAGTCCAAACTACTGTCATCCACTGTTCTAAATCTCCCATGAACTCCTAAGGATAGATCTGCCCTTGACCTGCCTGGTAATGGCCTGCTACTTTGCTTTTAGCTCATTCCCCCACTAGCAGCCCCCGCCAGTGCCTGTAAGAATCACTCCTACCCCAGGGCATTTGCATGTGAAATTCCTGCCAGAATAACCTTGGCTCATGACATTTTGTTTAATGTCAACTCTCAAAGGAGGGTCATCTCAGCCTCCCTTTTAAAAATTAATCCATACTCCTTCCACATGTTTCTTGTTTCAGTTTTTTGTTTAAAATTTCTTCTTTTATCATTTCTTGTTCTGAGAATAAAATTTTCATCAGTTTTCTAAATTCCTTCCATACTTTGGGTTAGTTATTTTTCAATAGCTTTTATTCCCACTTTTATATCAGTATTCATGGGCAAAATGTCACATCATCAACATTTTAAACAAAAATTGGATCTAGTTTCACTTATTTTATCATGACAATAAGGAATAGCTGCTCAGTAATGATAGTAGCGGAAAGTGGTGTTCCCCATTTCCTTTTTAAAACTAGGTAACAAATTAAGCATCACAGGATTGATGCAAGCATTAGTTAAAAGTAACCTTTAATTTTAATACTTGAACTTAGAGAAATGCATTTCTTACTATGTGTAATTCAATGTATTTTCTTTTTCTTTTTCTTCAGATGGTCCTCAATATATATCCTCCTTGTCATCTTTGGCAGACAGTAGTCTGAGTGAAGAAATGAGCCAATTTGATTTTTCAACTGGAGTTCAGAGTTATTCATACGGTTCCCAAGGCCCTAAACCAAGAATTCACCATTTTCGGAAACAGGTGATCACATTTCATATATTAATATTGTTGGCATTGAGAAAGGAGGGACACCAATTCTTTGTCATTGGTTCTTGGAAAACAACTTTCATGTGGAGATTTTTCTACAATCTAAGTTCCAGCCTTTCATCCCAGAGATTGATTATACATGTCATCAGCATATGAAAGAAGGCTCTCTGTAAGGGTAGTGTCACATGAGCCAGTTTTTGAGAGCAGTTGAGAAATCAGAATGGATTTCCATTAAGAAAGATGTCTCTACCATGAAAACTAAGGTACTTGTGCTGGTAGGACTTGCAATTTCTCTTTGGAAAAAATGAAGTTGCTGTTCAAATATTTGTTATTATCAAACTATGATGAATGGATGAGTCCATTTTCACTATTGATAGCTTAATTCTTAAAAAATGAATTCTTGGTTACAGAGACATAGAGTATTAGAATAGTTTGATTATTATTTTTATAGGTAGACAGTCTTTCTTTTTGGGTTCCAGCAGTTGATAAGTTTCTTTCAAATCCTCATTTACTAAATTTCACCTGCACCTCACACTTTTTTAGCTTCTATTGATCTCACTCTTCTCCATTATTATTTTTTAAATTTTCTTACATTGTTGCTCATATTGTTCAGTATTTGACTACTCCCCTCAGTTGAAATGCCTAACTACCTGCTCATCATCCCATGAACTGTCACCATAGTCCCTATGCTTTTCCCTCTTTTTTTTTTATTTATTTTGTGTGTGTCTGTGCACGTGTGTGTGTGTGTAGAAGATCTCGGGTATAGGCCAAAAGTGCAGAGTGAAAGAATTTACCATAGACAGAGTGGAGCAGAACAGGGAGTTCTATTGAAATATACTGCTAAGGGGAATAGCAAGTAAGATAGGAGAGATCTGCTGTATGTATAATGTGGCTTAGCTTCCTGGCTGGAGATTGAACTCAGGCATAATGGTGATATCACTGAACCTTAAGCCCTAGGCCACTGCCACTGGGAGAACCCTCTTTTCTGTTTTGAGCTCTCCCTTCCCCCTACTGTATGTTTTAGATCTTTAACTTAATCATTTTTTTTGACTCTTTCTTTGATTTTCCTATATTCCTCCTGAAAGTGAAACCACCCAATAGCTTTCTTTATTCTTCTGACTTATTTTACTGAGCAAAATCCCTTCCAACCCCATTTGTGTTGTTGTAAATAGCATGAGTTTATCTTTTTGATTGCTGAATAGTATTCCATTATTATCTATACTACATTTTCGTGATTCATTCATCTGTTGTTTGGCATTTAAGTTGTTTCCTTATCTTGGCTATTGTGATAAGTACTACAATGAAAAGGGGAGTGCAGATTTTCTTTTGAATTAATGTTTTTGTGTCTTTTGGGTAGATTCCTAGGAGTGGAATTGCTGTGTCATATGGTAGATCCATTTAGTAATTTGAGGAACTTCTACATAACTTTCCATAGTGGTTGGACCAGTTCCTTTTTTTCCACATCCTTGCTAGTAATTGTTTCTACTTTTTTTTAATATGTGCCATTCTCACCTCTATGAAGTAGTATCTTATTGTGATTTTGGTTTGTATTTCTATAGGACTATTTTTATTTCTCTGCACATGCCAAGGGTGTTTGATGTTATTACTGAATTTTTTATTTCTCAGTCTGTGCACATTTTTAGTAACATCATGTTGACTTTTAATTTTCCAAAAATTTCTATTCTGGATTTCTAAACCTTTTTGGAGGTGATCTGTGTTAAGAAATACCCCCCCCAAAAAAAAAGAAAAGAAAAAAGAAATATCTGCATCCCTATCTACATGCACACACCGTTATGTGTTACCACAACTGGATGTTCTCAGAAAATTTTAGTATCAAGAGTGGTTTAAAAGTTTTGTTGGGCCCTCTCCGGTGGTGCAGCGGCTTAAAAGCACAGCATTAAGAAGCTAAAGCCACTTCAGCATGAGTTTAATCCCTGCCCGCCCCCGAGGTGATCCACATGATCCACATGGCGCGCAGATATCTCCTGACCTGCCCGCTGCTCCCCTCAGCAGTGTACTTCATCAGTTGGCCTACTCTGGTGAATCCTCTCACCGCCCCTGCACCTCTGGCCTGTACCCTAGATCTATATGCATAAACCTTTAGAAAAAAAAGTTTTGTTATATTAATGGTTAAAATTTTGAGGCAAATGTGGAGCTTTCCAAAGTTTTCCAGATTAATGCAAAAAAATATATGAAAACTTTATCCTATAATTATTCTTCTATAGTTCCACTTTCTTCATAAAGTAGCAACTAAATATGGAGATTTGCTGTCCATATGTTGAGGATTCTAAATAAACAGATTTGAAAGAATGTTTATGTCCACACAAAACACATTATGTCTGTATTGAAGTTCTAAATGTATCCCCTAGGGAGTGACCATGCAGATAGGTGAGAGGGAAAATATGTGCATAGAATGTCAGGACAACATGAGGCCCTGTTTATATTTTAGCTGTGTAATAAAAAAATACACTAAGAGTGTTTGATATCATTACTGAACTATTGTTGTCATCTGTTTGTGTTTCACGCTATTTCCCAATAAGGTCATCTTATACACTGAAATTTTAACAGTCCACATCACATTGGGTTCTTTGCTTTTCTTAGGAACATAAGAACCCCATGATGCCAGATGAAATATTGGAGTTAGAGATGGATGAACTCAATAAACATGAATGTATGGCAACCATGACTGCGCTGATTAAGCACATGCAAAGAAATCAGATCCTGCCAAAAGGAGGAGAGGTCTTTTTTTTTTATTTTCTTTTTTGCTATCTCACTTAATACTATGCATATATATTTAAGATTAAAGATTTATGCTTTATCTTATCATTGTTATTTCATATATGAGTTATTTTATTCCACTTTAAGGTAATTTTGAGTATATATTTTCAGGGTTCAGTGCCAGGAAGTCTTCCCCTTTGGATGAAATTCCTTCAAAACAAATTAGGAAATCCATCAGTATCATTAAATATTCGTCTCTTCTTAGCCAAGCTTATTATTAATACAGAAGAAGTAAGTAATGAAATATTTCTTTAAAATTCTTTGCAATTGCATGTATTTACTTAAAAAGAAACCCACAGTGAAGAAGGATTTATAAGGACAGAACATGAATTTTTTCTTAAAACCAATTATGTTTATTTAAATAAGATGCTTGATTGACAGGGAAACTATCTTGGATTCATTTAAAATAATTTATCCTTACTTAAATACAGATTACTGTATTTCCCTGGTGGCGCAAGGTGTTAAGACAGAACTGTGAAGCTAGACACAGCTGCTTCAGCAAGAATTCTATCCCCAGCCAGGGAGGTGACCCACATAGTGCATCAGACCCGCTACTCCCCTCAGCAGTGTACTTTGTCCACCTGTTTTGCTCCCCACTCTCTCTGATGAATCCTCTCACCACCCCTGTACCTCTGGCCTGTACCCCAGCTTTGTAGGCACAAATAAATCTTTTTTAAAAATACAGATATATATACAGTACATATAATATTTATGTACTTGGGTTTAAACAGATAAATGAATGTTTAAAATTCTTTGAATAACTGAGTGTGCAACTTTTTTTTTTAATTTATTTATTTATTCATACAGAACTGGGGTACAGGCCAGAGATGCGGAGGGTGAGAGGATTCACCAGAGACAGAGTGGGGTACAGAACAGGCAGATCGACGAAGTACGCTGCTCTCAGCAGCGGGCGGGTCAGGAGAGGTCTGCCACACCATGTGTATCTCCTCTGGGGCAGGCGGGGATTGAACTCATGCGGAAGTGGCTTAAGCTTCTTTGTGCTGTGTTTTAACCTGTTGCGCCACCAAGGAGGGCCAGAGTGTGCACAATTTTTATGTTGTTTTTGTTGTTATTAAACACCGAGGACAAAATAACTTTCTCTTAAAAAAAAATAAGAACTGAGGCCTGCTCCGGTGGCACAATGGGTTAAAGCGCAGCACAGCAGAACTCCTCTTGTCTTGCTTGCTGCTTTCCTCAGCAGTGTACTTCATTAGCCTGCCTATTCTGCTCCCCACTCTATCTCTTCCCACTCCTGCACCTCTGGCCTGTACCACAGTTCTGTATGCATAAATAAATAAAATCTAAAAAAACAAGATAAGAATTGAATAAGCCTACCACTAATGGAGAAAGATGATATTTTCATAGAACCAGTATTTTTCCCTATCTCATCTCCATTTGACCATTTTATTTTAAATAATATAGTATGCTTGTGCACATATACCAGTTACTTTATGTGCAAGAGGAGAATAGAAGTGTAGATAAAACTATACTGCAGTACTCAGGGTATAGTGGAACCAAGTTTCTACTTTCTAGTTGAGAATGTCATCTTAGTCCGGAGGAACAGAGTTCTGGAGTAAAGTAGCAGATATAGCTGGACACATCATTGTACCTTCATTTTCAATTCCCAGCTGTACAGGTGTGTCTGTTTCTTTGATTAGCTGCCCATCAAATCAGAATTCTAACTTCATCATTGACAAAGCTGTCCTTTACTATAGGCTTTCATCAGCTAACTAAGTGGTATATGCCTCTAAATGTTAAGTTGCACCACAGAATCTTCCTGACCTGCTACTTTCATATTAATATGATCATTTTCCCCAGTCTTAATTCTTCCTGTGGGCTTTTTGTCAACTGTGACAAGCTCTGAAGTCTCTTTAACTGTCACGTAACCAAACAGGTTCCCCACCAAATGAGCACAATAGTAACACCAGGAGCATCAGAAACAAAATCTGAATTATTTTCTTCTGTGAATGAATTAGCCAGCTGTATTTATTTACTTGTTCAATATCATTCTTTTTTTTTTTAAAGATTTATTTATTTATTTGTACAGAGCTGGGGTATAGGCCAGAGATGTGGAGGGTGAGAGGATTCACCAGAGACAGAGTGGGAAGCAGAACAGGCAGAGCGATGAAGTATACTGCTGAGGGGAACAGTGGGCTGGTCAGGAGAGGTCTGCCGCGCCATGTGGTCACCTCCGGGGCAGGCGGGGATCGAACTCATGCGGAAGTGGCTTTAGTTTCTCAGTGCAGTGCTTTTTAGTTTCTCAGGCCACCAGGGAGGGCCTCAATATCATTCTTTTACCATTTGCTTTTAAAATATGTTACTTCTATTGGGTTAAAAGTAATTTTTATAAAAAGTATATGTGATGGCAATTTTCTTATGATTTCCAGCCTTCTTGGTTTACAGTAGTGAAGAAAGTGGATAAAGTATTCTTGTCCTCTCTATGAGAAGTAGCTGACTCTTTTAGATTGTTGTTGAATTTATCAGTTCTATATACAATACTACGTTACGGAGGAACCTTAACCACCAGTTAGAGTTAGGGTGAATTTTTGAAAGCACCCTTGAGCTAAGCATTGTAAGGTGCGGTGGGTGTTTTCCTCCAGTGTAGAGCGATTAGTGGAAATAGCAATGCCCCAGTAGAGAGCCAGGTTTTCTGTACTGATTGCATGGATTTCTGCATGGTCCAAAAAAGAGGTGCAGGTGGTACAGCCATAGGACCAAAAAGCAATTGAGCTGGGTCTGGCCCCATTGGGACCCATACAAAGGGCCCAGCTCATTCACTGATTAGGAGGGAGCCACTGATAAGTGCTAGATGGAGGAATGACATGATGCTTTCACCCCTTAGTAAGTCCTCCTCAGCAGCACTGTAAGTGGGAATTTAAAGTTTGGAAGTGGAGGGCTAACATAGAACTCAGGTCAAGTGTTCCTTATAGTCACACTTGATTTTCAGCTCCTGGGGCATTCAAAACACAGTGGCTCAAACTGGAAGACAAACAATAAAACCTTACTTTTTTCTTGGTTCTGCAGCTATAAGTCCAAGATCAAGTATTTTGTAGAGTTTCTTCTTCTGGGGACTCTGAGGAGAATATGTTCCAGGCCTCTCTGCTTCTTGTGGTATCTAGTACTTTTTGAATTGTAGATGGCATTCTCCCTGAGTCTTCACATTGTCTTCCCTTTTGCTCTCTTGATTTGTACAAATTGTCCATTTTAGTAAAAATACTGTCATTGAATTAGAGATATTCTAATGATCATTTTTAAGGTGATAATCTTTTTTTTTAAAAAAAAATTTTATTTATTTATATATAGAAGAACTGGAGTACAGGCCAGAGGTGTGGAGGGTGAGAGGATTCACCAGAGACAGAGTGGGGGGCAGAACAGCTGGATCTACTGAAATATACTGCTGAGGGGAGCATCAGATGGGTCAGGAAAGGTCTCCTGACATGTGGGTCACTTCTGGCTGGGAATTAAACTTGTTTTGCCATGGCTGTGGATAGCTTCATTGTGCTGAGCTTGAACCCATTGTGCACCAGGGAGGGCCCAAGGTGATAATATTTAAAGACCCCAATTCTAAATGAGGTCTCAGCCACAGGTACTAGAGTTAGGACTTGAACATAGTCTGGCTTGATACAGTTCAACTTATAACACTTGGGGCACCATGTGATTTCTAGCTCATATTCCTGTAGGTGTTCATAACTACTGAAAAAGGAGCTGGTGTCTTTCTGGGGAGATGATCTGTGGGTTGGGTAGGGGTATGCAAGTTAACAAGGAGGCATGCTGAATTATGTTCACTTGTATGAACACCCGGGCCTAGCTATCTGTGAATTTTAGCTGCCCCAGAGACCTGATAGAGATGTCCTTGGAGTTTGGGGATGATCAGAGCAGTGATTTCCAGATGATGTTTGAGATAATTCACTGTCTTATGCAAGAAAAGATTAGAAATTGTATTTATCTGTGTTTTTAAAACTTCAGTCTTTACGGCCCTCCCTGGTGGCACTACTGGTTGGAGCATAGCACTGTGAAACTACCACAGCCACTCAGCATGAGTTCAATCCCTGGCCAGGGGGTGACCCACATGGTGTGGCAGACCTTTCCCGGCCTGCCTGCTGCTTCCCTCAGTGGTGTATTTCAGTGCATCTGCCTGTTCTACTCCCCATTCCTTCTCTGGTGAGCCCTCTTATCCCCTTTACCTCTGGCCTATACGTACCCCAGTTCTATATGCAAAAATAGATAAATCTTAAAAAAAAAAAACCCTAAAACTTTAGTCTTAATTTATCTATTATAATTTTAAAAATTTGTTTATTTGTATATAAGGAACTGAGGTACATGCCAGTGGTGCAGGGAGTTAGAGGATTCACCAGAAACAGAGTGGGGAGCAGAACAGGCAATTGATAAAGTACACTGCTAAGGGGAGCAGCGGGCAAGACATGAAAGGTCTGCTGCGCCATGTGGGTAAACTCCTTGGCCTGGGATCTCACTCATTACTGAAGCAGCTGCACATAGCTTCATAGTGCTTTGCTTTAACCCATTGTGTTACCAGGGAAGGTCCTACTATATTTTAGTGAGAAGAAAGTATATTTATAATTTATAAATAAGCTTATAAATATGGGGAGTTTTCAGCTTGTTTCACATGATCAAAAATATCTGATAGCATACAAATTTAAGCTGTGAGAGTAGATGAGCATTCCCAAGAACATATTTGATTAAAAGGGTGATATACAGGAGAATTTGTCTAAGAGTAAGGTGATGAATAGTATGAATTATACTTTTGCCTGCCCTTTTGCATTATCTTTGCAGTTTTAAAATAAATTAAGTGGAGTATAGTTCATGGATATATTTTGTTTTAAATTTCAGAGATCCTGGGTGTATGAAGTCTGTAACAGAATGACTTTCATAGTAGAAGAAAATGAAAAAGCAGTTAGCCACATAAATCTTCGAATTTTATATTTCATTTTTCATTTATTCTATGCATTTGCATAAAATAAGAGTAAAAACTAAATCTGCATAGTACTCAAATGGGACCGTTTGATAATAGAATAGTTTTGATTTATTTTTTTTTAAAGATTGCTTTATTTATGCATGCAGAACTGGGGTACAGATCAGAATTGCAGGGAGTGAGAGGACTCATTAGAGAAGAGTGGGGTGCAGAACAGGCAGATGGTCTGAAATACACTGCTGTGGGGAACAGTGGGCGGGCCAGGAGAGGTCTGCCACACCATGTGGTCACCCTCCTGGCCAGGTATCGGACTCATGCTTCGGGGGCTGTAATAGCTTCATAGTGCTGTGCTTTTAACTTGTTGCACCACCAGGGAGGGCCCCAGTTTTGACTTCTTTAAGTATAGTTAGAAAGGAAAAGATCAGTAATAAACCCATTTTTAGTGTATGGTGGGTGGCTTTTGGAACCCATGAAGAGAAACATCAACAGAATCTGATATGATTAAGCTCAGATTGTTGGAGTTTGCATTTACTTAAGATTTAGGCTGAGCTATAAAAGTTAACTGATGTTTCTGACTTTGTATTTTGATTATTCTAAACAATTCTTGTCTTTTAAATTCTGTTCCAGGTCTTTCGTCCATATGCAAAATATTGGCTTAGCCCCTTACTTCAGCTGGTCGTTTCTGAAAACAACGGGGGTGAAGGAATTCACTATATGGTGGTTGAAATAGTGGTTACTGTTCTTTCATGGACAAGTTTAGCTAATCCTATAGTAAGAATGAATACTACTTTTATTTTCTTTTCTGAGTTCCTCTTAATAGCTTAGAGTCATTTTTAAGTGTCATGTAGTGTATCTCTGTGATCCTGCTATATCAAATGACTTATACTGCTTTAGTTCTGTTTTCTTTTATGTTTTAATTCCTCTGACTTTATTTTTATTTTTAAGCTCTCCTGTGTTTGTTTTGTTTGTTGCTTTTAATTGCTAGGAGCTTGTAAATCATTGGTTTATTAACACTATGTGTAAATAAAAATAAATGTCAATAAATGTGAAGTTCTGTAAACTTTTCTAAAGTCCATGGATTTTTTTTTTTTTTGTAAGCTTCCAGAGTATTGACTGTGATCCATAATGGTAAAAATTGCTAAGAAAAGTGACTGTTAGGTGAACAACATTTACACTGAAGTAAGCTTGTGCCATCTCCTAGGATGCTCACTTATTTTAAAACATTAACACTAATAACATACAAAAGTTTTCATATAAGGCTATTCTGGAAATAGTACTTAGTAAAAATGATGTATGTATATCAAATTTCTACACGTTATGTCTGGATGTGCCTGTTTCATTTCACACTATATCAAATTCAGATGCCTTAGCGTTAATGTGATGAAATAATTTGTTGTTTGTTTAATAACATGAAAAAACTGAAGAGTGTTTGGATCTACTTAGGAACTGGTGGAAAAGATTGATTTACATGTAGGAGCTCTGCTGAGTTGGAGAACTACCCAGCTAGATGTGGGAGTAGCTAATAAAAGCATAAGTGAGCCTTAGTGAAAGTCCCAGGGAAACCTCATTCAGTAGTATTAGGAAGGAGAGAAAACCAGGGAAGATCTAATCTCACTGTCCCACTTTCCCCCAGGAAACATTTTTTGTGCTAGAATCAACTGAATCTGTCTGTATAAGTTTGGAGGTCCAATTTTATTTTTGAGGGTGCCCAGAATTAAAGACTCTAGCACAAGGTGTTAAGGGTGTCTGGGTGGGAGTTGACTTGATGCTGAGTCAGATTGGGAAATCACCTGTGGTTACGCCTGAAAAATCACATGTAGGTTTTTAACCAGAACTTCTTTTATAAATAGACTGTGGAGTTCAGAATGCAGTGCTACACATTAACCAGAATTTCTGTACCTTTTTAGGGAGTCCCTAAAGATGAAGTACTAGCAAATCGATTGCTTCACTTCTTAATGAAACATGTTTTTCATCCAAAAAGAGCTGTGTTTAAACATAACCTGGAAATTATAAAAACCCTTGTTGAATGCTGGAAGGATTGTTTATCTGTCCCTTACAGGTATAACTTACTAAATATTGCAATTTGCTTAAAAATGTTTACAAAGTTGCTTGTTGTAAATGGTGATTATATGAATTTTATTACTTGAGATGATAGAAGAAATATAATTTGAAGACACATCTGTTAGTAAGGGTATTAGCATTGCTACTAAATAAAAAATCACAATCTCCAAAAACTGATACTAGAAGCATCTCTGAGCAAGTGATCACTTCCATGTGGCTTCACACCTCTCTCAACTGATCTGTGAATTTTTCCCTCACTGGGATTATGGGGTACATTCTGCTCTTCACTGTCCTGTCTAGGAGACTAAAGGGCTTTTCCTTGGTTCCATTTGGCATCGCCTGAGGCAAGCTAAAACTTTCCACTAAGCAAAAATTAGGGCAAATAATTAGATTATAAGAAGTACAGAGCTGCTTATGCTTCAGAGCTTTAATAACCTGGATGTGAACAAAGAGGTATTATCAAGAAGGGTGTTAGATGCAGAAGAAAAAGTATTTCTTCCCTGAAAATTAGTCATAGAAAACTCTGTATTTATATTCTGCTTCTTTTATGACAATCTGTATTTTTTCTTTTTGCTTATGTTTCAGGCTAATATTTGAAAAGTTTTCCAGTAAAGATTCTAATTCTAAAGACAACTCTGTAGGAATACAATTATTAGGAATTGTAATGGCCAATAACTTGCCTCCTTATGATCCAAAATGTGGCATAGAGAGTATAAAGTAAGTACCATATTTTTTGCTGATTGCCTTTTAGGATCAAGTCTACCTTGAATTGAACTTAATTGATTGGCTCAATATACTGGATATAGTTTAATTTTTATAAAGTTTTTAATAAATTATACAATTTAAATATGCTTTATATAATAATTTTTATGAAGTTACTAATACCAATGTTAACATTTTTTCTGCATATACATATATATATACACACACTTCAGTTTACATACTTGAGATTAGAGGTCATTGGGAAAAGAAATTGGCTAATGGTGTGAATGAGGATAGTGTGTTTTTAAAAATCACTGTAATTTTTCTTGTCTATTTTTGCAGATAAGAAATGTTAAGTATTTTCCTAACTGACATTTCAATATTTACCCCTTCAGTAACATGAGCTTCTTGAGACCATTCACTATAGGATTCTTGGCTACTCGGGCTGTCTGCTCAAACTTTATTCTGCCCAGTCATGGTACATTTTGCCATAGCTGCATGCCACTGTTCTCCAAAACCTCCCCCAGCTCACAAGTGGAATGTACTGGCATACCTATGAAGAGATGTGACCTTAATAAGATACTTTTGTAATGCCGCAAACTGGCACCTCACTTTCCTACAACATAGGCTTAAGAAAGTCCATGGTCATATCATGGTCATGTTATAGATTTCATCATGTCCCTTCTAACTTTTCTCATTTCTCTG